TCTAGAGAACACAGTTAAGCCAGGAACGTAAAGAGTTCATCAAGAACAGTTAGAAACAGTTGTCTTTTTTTCCTTGAATGTCTCAGACTCTTTAAATTGAATCCCAAGGTTGTCCCTTACCTCATCCTATTTAAATCATTCTTTTCCCCAATCCTCTCTGGACCTATCTCCCCAGGATGGCAGAGGAAGGTGACAGAGACTCCTGATTCTTTTGCTCCATGCCCAGAAGGCAGGACTTTCCCATGCTAAAGTACTGCCCAGAATCTCCTGTCAGGGGATAAAGTAGCCAGGCTCAAAAGAAAACAGATTTTAGGAGAATTCATCATATGTTGAGACATTAAATTTGACTTGTGCTCCCAGGGGCCCAACCTTTGGACATTGTGACACGATACTGTTATGTACAAAGTTCACTCTTGATAACCATATAACTGAGTTAGCCTCACCCCGTTAAAAAAGACAAAAGCCAATCTCATAATGTTTTTTAGTAAGTTTGCAATTTTGTGTTGTGCTGTCTTCATACCTAACCTGAACCACATGTGGCCCATGGACCACATCCTTTATAAATCATCCTCCTGTGTACTAAGCCTGTTGCCCTATATACTTTGGTTTACAAGATTACTTCCATGTACCCTCTCAACATGCTATGGCAGACACTAACACTCAGTGAACATTTGCCATGCCCTTGCCCATCCACTATCTCATTTCTTATAAAATGCAGAGTCAAGTGGAGATTCACAGAAGCCACAGCTGTGACTTAGACAAGTCTACCTAAGGTCTCACAGCTATGACTGAACCTCACACTTAGGATTCAAATCCAGGCTTGTTTGGAGTCCATTTGCTGAGCTACCTTATTTGATTGTTTTCTGGGTAGCCAGTGATGATAGGTTGTGCAGGTTACTAGTTCTGTTACTAGATTTGTTGTTAGAAATGACAGTTTGTCAGTAAGTGGTTCCCTCAGGGAGAAATAGCTTAAATGAACAATTTCAAGACTATAAACCCATGATGTCTTAATAAGCTCCCACGAGTAACCAGTAAACACAAAAGGTAGATACTCATTCTAGGTTATCTGTCAGCAAAAGATAATTTAGATAATTATATCAAGAAAACAGATTAATTAAACAACAACCAGAAGATACCAAGTAGGTTGGGACCAGACAGACCTAGATTTCAAAATGTGTTCCCTCCATTACTTCTTATGTGATTGGAACCAGGCTACCTTTGAGCCTCACTTTCTGCATTTATAAAAGAAAAATATAAACCAGGTAGGGCACTGGGAGGACCAATGACACAATGCATTTAAAGTGCTTAGAGATCAAGACTTGAACCTTTTGGGGATGTTCAGAAATGCCAAGTAGCAGTCCTTCCCTCACATCCCCACACAGCCGGTCCTCCCTCACATCCCCACACAGCCAGTCCTCCCTCACATCCCCACATAGCCAATCCTCCCTCAGATTCCCACACAGCCGGTCCTCCCTCACATCCCCACACAGCCAGTCCTCCCTCACATCCCCACATAGCCAATCCTCCCTCAGATTCCCACACAGCCGGTCCTCCCTCAGATTCCCACACAGCCGGTCCTTCCCTCACATTCCCACACATCTGCTCATTCTTTCACAATTTGAACCATAGTGTATGAAAGAAACTCCTAAGCATGGCCGAGCTTTGTGACCGGGAAAATGAAGACTCAGAAAGGGTAAAGATTCTCCTAAGTTAGGCATATTTTGCCAAGAAGTAGTTCAAATTAGGCTGAGATGTAGCTCAGTGGTAAAGTGCTTGCCTGGCACACACAAGGTCCCGGTTCAATCCTCAGCACCAAAACCAACACAAAACAAAATAAAACATGACACAAGAAGAAAACAAAATACCAACAAACAGATAAGAAGCAGAGCAGACGTCCAGCTCAAAGTTTGGTTTGTTTTGCGCCACACAAAGCCACTCAAAACAATACGCATCCCATAATACACCTGTGCATGCCTTTGAGGCTTTACCGGGGCTCATTCCAGCCTCATGAGCTCTCGGCTCAGCTTGGCTACAAAAGCCTTACACTCTTGCTTGCTGGAGTGACTTCAGGTTTGTCTTGATAAAGGCTGCTTTTTTTTAAAATATTCGTGATGGTTTCTTTTAATTAAATAATTTAAACATTTATTTATGTGGGGGGGGTGCCATCACATGAATGCAGAGGTCAGAGGGCAACTTGGAAGTCAGTTCTCTCCTACCATATGAGTTCCAGGATAGAACTCAAGTCATCAGGTTTGGCAGCAAGTGCCTCTAAGTTCCAAGCCATTTCAATGGCCCATTTGTTTCCTTTAAAGTTAACTCACTACTTGGGAGAATGTGCTCTTGGTTTTTTGGTTTTTTGTTTGTTTGTTTTGTTTTTTCATGTACTCAAGTAAAGTGTTCGAACATAATTTTCTACATAATAATTAAAAATTAGTATCTCTCATGAAATAACAAATTAATATGAGACAGCTGGTATAATCAGACACTTCCAAAGTAAGAGCAACATAAAGCAAGATGCACAAGGACAGCAGTCTCCCTCCAAATTCAGGGTGTCTAACCGACACAGCAGGTCTTAGAAAAGATGGGAGAAGGGTTCGGAAGAGCACTTTCAGAGAGAGCTGTTGAGGTACTCTGACCTTCCTCATACATAAGAGAGAGCAATTCCCTCCCTTTTTAGGTCAAGAGACAGGGGTTTTAAGAAGTAACCTGGAGGGGCTGGGGATATGACTCAGCAGTTAAGAACACTGCTCTTGCAGAGGACCCAGGTTCAATTCCAGCACCCACATGGTAGCTAAAAAACATCTATAACTCCAGTTCCAGGGGAATCTGATACCCTCTTCTGGCCTTCTCCGGCAGCGCACAACATAGCTGCACTTACATATATACAAGCAAAACATTCATATACATAAAGTAAAAATAAAAATAAATAACCTAGAGGTAACAAGCCTGGAAATTCTCAGATAGCATGCTGTGTTCCCTATGAAGGAGTAACAACACCCAGGGCTGTGATTTCTAGTATTTATGGGAACAAGTGACTTGCCATTGTTGCCCATGGAACTGGTATGAGTAAGTGTTCAAAGGAGCTGTTGAAGATGCCTTTGATCTCCCACTCAAGAGGAAAGGGCATAGAAAGAGCTTAGTAAAATAAAGACTGAAATATCATCAGATGCCCAGAGGCTGAGGTAGGGACCAGGGACCGTCTGGAATTCAGACATACTCAACTCTTCTCAAAGGAGCAATAATTGAGAGATCTCCTGAAAACTGGCTTTTTGGGGGACATGGGTGATAGGAAATAGGATGGCAGATCTTAAGGGACTCACCACCCTCGTCCCCCCACCCATGGACCCAGCTTTAGATGTGAGCTACCATCAGAGAAAACCAGTTCTTGACAAGCACCACCAAGTAAAATGTTTCTGTTCCTCTTTTACTCTTCTTTCTCCAGACCATTTGGGTGTAGCCAGAGACCAGACTTAGCAAGATGGGGGTCAAGGTCTAGGGGAGGGGTAGAAGTGAAAGATGGGGGAGGGGGCAGAGAGAAACGTCAAACACAGGTGACTTCTTCCATGGTAGGCAAGCTGCCTGTGGCAGGGTGGGAAAGTAAAATAACCTTGAATGCAGGTTAAAGTTACTAGCTATGCAGGGGCAGGCATATTGATCACTAAGGGGAGGTTCATTCCTTCCATAGAAGTGACTAGGGGAAAGGAAGGGACAGGCCCCAGTAAGAAATATAACAGCTCAATGACAGACAAAAATGAGGACTCCATAATTATACCCCAGGTGCCATGCTCGTCCAAAGTGAAGTTTGAACATATAACATTCCAAACAGAAGAAAATTCAGCTCTGAGGTGTTCAGCAACTTGTCCAAGAAAAAAAAATGGTCACAGAGCAGGGATCTGCTGTCACAGAGAGGGGATCTGCAGTCAGGCTCTCTCCTAGCTGCCTCTGAATGACCTTGTGGCTCTACTTTCCTTCATGGAAATCTGAGGTAAATGTTTACCATGAGTGCTCTCATGGAATTATCACAAAGGGGCATGCCTTTAATCCTAGCACTCAGGAGGCAGAGGCGGGCAGATCTCTGTGAATTCAAGGCCAAGCTGGTCTACATAGTGAGTTCCAGGCCAGGTGAGGCTATAGAGAGACCCTGTCTCAAAAAGACCAAAAAAAAAAAAAAGTTTACTCTTTCAGGACACTTCTAGCTACTGGAAAAATGTAAAAATACATTCATTCTCTCTCTCTCTCTCTCTCTCTCCTCTCTCTCTTATTCCAGTACACAAGGAGCTGTATTTGTATGCAGGTGCACCTGTGCATGGAGGCAGAGGTCAACCTCATGTGTCATTCCTCAGGTACCATCTACCTTATTTTTTGAGACGGGTCCCATTTGGCCCAGAACTAATGGATTAGGCTAGGCTTGGCTGGCCAGCAACCC